TTGGAATTTGAAATGATCGAGTATGTTACGTTTTAAAGAATTTGTATTAATTTTTTTTATGTCAAATAGGTGATGTGTTAATGATCTATTAGTTGTGGTTTTGTAAGAAAAATTAATTTTAAACCTAATTTTAATTATATAATAAAAAATTGGAAAAATGTGGCGGTTATTACGTTGGAACCGCCTCGAAAAATAAATTTTTAATATAAAAAATACATATACGGCAGTTTTTACCTTGGAACCGCCACAAATATTTCATACAAAATGGTGGTCGGACACATAAATATGCGGCAGTTTTTAGGTAATAACCGCCGCAAATTAATTAATTTTTCATTTTTTTTTCAACATTTTTAATTTGCGGTGATTTTTCAATATAAAAACCGCCGCGCGTAAAAAATTTGCATCACATTCCGCTATGGCGGTCAAAACCGCCGCGCGTCTGGCTTTAAAACCGCCACATATTGGCGTTTTTCCACTAGTGGTATAGGATCGGCCAACTTTTATATGCAATGCCTTGACTTTTGATATGTATTTTTAGCTACTATTTTTTTTAACGAAAATCACAAACTTGTATTTGGTGAAAATAATCCAGTCTCTTTTGAGTTAGGAACCCATTTATGAGTTATTGCAAGTGTGAGAGAAATTTCAGCTCAGGTGAATGATAGAACGTGTTTTTGAGAAGTAAAGATTTTCTCACTTGATAATGACCATTTAAGATATTTGGCTGAATATATAAACCCTGAGGGATATGTCAAACAAACATCGTCACAAATAGTATATGTTGAAGATTTAAGGGTTAATTCCCTAACTAGGAGTAAAACATAAGAAAAATGCAAAACTAAGAGTCCAATGTTCCGTGTGCTTAAATAGGAGTAATAATACATGGGTGGACAAAAATACCCTTAATAAAATGTCTAATTTGAAAAATGGAATTATACGGAGTACGAAGTAATGGTGTTCTAAGCGCCAATGGATAGCAGAGTGCCCACTGGCACAAGTTGCGGCACCATCCGCAGTAGACACCAACCGACGTTGCCGCTTGACGCCGCCACTGCCATGCCTATGCCGTCAGATGTCATCGCTGCTGTGTTGGTAGAGCCACATGTCGATTCCACCGAGTCAGATCCGTGAAACACCTCTGCCGTCGAACGCCGCCAAGTCCTTCACCACTGCCGCCAGATACTTATTCATTGTCACCTCGTTCGGCGCCGTCCATGCCGCTTCCGGCACAACCACCTTTGGTTTCACCACAACAAATCTCAGATCTGAAAAGAATGTTTTAAGATGTCATCTAACCATTTCAATGTTATCTTAATGATGGCATTTGTATTCAAACATAGCATGATTTATTTTGCCATCTTGATATTTTTAAAACATAAAACACAGTGCAGTTACAAGGGAAGTACTATTGCCATCGTCATGAGGTTAGTGCCAAATAAATGGCATTGTGTGCGGGAACAATATTTTTAATGTGAAAAACATGACACTAATACTACTCTTTTGTCATCCTAATTTGTAAAATGGCATTGTGTGCAGGAACAATATTTTTAATATAAACAACATGGCACTGGTAGTACTCTAGTGTCATAAAATGGCACTACTCTGATGTACCAAACAAAATAAAATGGCACTACTCCGATGTACCAAAAAAAATAAAATGGCACTACGTGTTGAATAATGTTTCGCATGGAAAATATGGCATTATTAGTAATTTATTTGCAAAGAGGTAATACTTTCATCCTAATAGTTATTTTCATCTTCATTTGAAAATTTTCAAAAAAATTGATTGAAATCAAATTTAAAAATTATAATTATGTTGTAAAGAAAATTTAAATGAAAACAAAAATTGAGAGAATTTGAAAGAGCAAAAAAAGAAAAAGTAAGAATTCAAGAAAAGACTAAAACGGATCTAGGACAAAAAGCTTAAGCAAAAAATGAGTTGTAATCATCAAGCAGTTCACGCTGCAAAAAAGAACAAGGATGTGCCGACGAGTGAAATAAAAGATGAGAGAAGGAGAAGAAGAGGAATTGAAGAAGAAGAAGAAGAAAGGGAAGAAGAAGGGGGGAAAAGAAGAGGAAGAACATACATGTGATTAATGATTGCCGCTGATAGCAGAAGAAAAGATTATCATTAGATCTGTTGTAGATGAGGAAATCTTTGTTGGTGCAAGATCTGTTTGTGCGAGATTGTTGTGCGAGAGAAGAGATCGTAGATGGAGGAGAAATGGGATAAGGATGACAGAGAAGAGATCAGTGCAAGAGCCGTGTGAGGAGTGCGAAGGATCGGATAAGAAAGATCCGACGGAACAAAAGGGTATAATCGGAAGAAAAACGACACATCTAATTAATAACTTCTATTTAGGAAATAAAAAACTTAAACTCTTATTTGGGAACTCATCTTATGTTTTGCTCCTATTTTGAGCAATTTCCGAAGATTTAACTCTTTTCTGTTTAGATGTGCCATCATTCACATCAAAATGAAGTTTAGAAGTCTTAGCCTTTTGGTTAATTAAGCTTCTCAGGCTCGCTAACTTTAGTTAGCTCTAAAGTGATCATGAGTAATCACATAACTAGAGTCATCAAAAGAAGACAAAGAAGAATAGTGTGTGACAGAGCTAAATCACTGACTGTTTGAAGAACTTGAACTTTCATTGAACTTACTCTTTGAAAAGGGAAAGGAAGTAGAGGCCGTACGTGTCTGTACTAGGGACATTTTTGAGAAGATAAATCTCATTTAATTAAAAGTAGTTCATTTTGTGTTTTGAAAACCACTTTTTAAATTTCCAAAGATTTGTGAAGGTCCGCAGATTTGCAAATGATCTTTGGAATGTAAAGTTTATCAGGTTTGGAGTTTTCAGAAAACAAATGGTTCTCCCCCGTAGACATAGACTCAGACTCACTTGCTGGAGGAAAAAGTGATACATAGTCGTCTGCGAAGGAATTTCCCAATCCTTATGACTAGCATTCGGTTGAGTGTAGTCAAACGAGATCTCAGCCTTAGAATTATTTTCTCTCGTTTTCTTTTTCATCAACATCAATTTTTGACGCTATAACGAAGGACACAAGTTTCGTCAAACCCAAGCCCATATATCTTATGTTATACAACTGAGCACAATTGACTTTTTTTTTAAGTTGCATGGATGGGTTTTGTAAACCTAAGCTTTCCTTGGGGTGTGAGAAACTAGTGTCTCTTGGATGATTTAGGAAGATGGTTTGATCAGTTGACCTCTCTTAGCAAGTAAATCTTTACCTCTTTGATTTTGGAATAGATCTTGGAATTGCAGCAATCATTTTGAAGGTGTTCATATTAAAAGAGGTTGTTGTTGTGATAGGTTCAAGTTAGAAGCTTTCAATTGCTTAGTCAAGTCACACACATGTGTTTCTCAGTTTTCTAATTTAGACTTAGGATTAATATGTTGGAAACAATAAAAGGGGTCTAATATGTAATTAATTAAAATGTGTTTACCATCAGATAAATAATACAGTGGCTATTCATGAAATAATAAAAGTGTAGATACCAGGATAATATATTTCTTTTGGTGACGGGTCAAATTAAATATATTATACTAAAGTGATACAACGGTTATGACCCCCGGTGCGTGTAAATTAAGAGATAACAGTAAAGATATTGTAACGGAAAATGGCCTAATAAATTATTCTAAATAAATATCATTATTGTAATAATAATAAAGGAGTTATTAGAATATTAAGGGGCCAACCGTTACAATGAAAAACTACTCTTATAAATATCCCATCTATTATGCATCGGAAGGTTTAGCCTACTAGCGGTCTTGGACTTCTGGGTCTTCCTAAAGTGTTAATGCAAATGTATTCTCAAAGTATTCTTCTAATCTTATTTTATACATATTTGATTTCATGGATTTATATGGATTTAGCTATTATATATTTATATATATATATATATATATATCGTATATGGAGTTTTGTTGATATATGTATGAATATCCAACATAATATTCTCATTCTGTACCTTGGTTAAACGAACCATGGGTGCTCGATTAAGTGTTTTTTCATGACCCTATTATTGTTGGCTAGGCGGTCCCCGCCCCCATTCCCATTCTGAGTATTAACATGGAACTCAAGTTTATCTATGATACCCTTCCATATTTTTAGTTGCAACTACAATTTCTTTTATGAAGATTAAAAAATAATAAGAAACAATAATCCCTAATATATGGTTAAAATAAAGATAACTTTTAGTAATTATAGTTGCGTTAAAATTATACTTTGTATATTTACAATAGTTTTGAAAGTATATCTACAATAGTTTTGGTCACATATTTGTCCATGATGAGCATTTTTTTGGTAAAACACTTTCCCATTCCATATAATACTACATTACTACTCCATATAATAGTGTACCCTAGCAATAAATCAGAAGCAGAGGTAGGGAGGCATGCTAGCCTGCCTCACTCCAATTTTTTTAATTTTTTTAATTATGAATATAAAAAATTTCATGTAGAAGTTTATCGAGAAAATTGTTTGTATATATAGCACAATATATATAGCCCTTGCTACACCGATACTTTAATGATGGGAAACGTAGCCTACGACTTGCTTGTTCATAACTCTGAATTTTTTTCATAAACTATTCAAAAACTTGTTTTTACTAGCTTAGCTCTATACGGACTATTAAAAGATTGTGCAACATGCATGAATAATTTCCAACATATATATAGTTTCTAAAAAAAAATCCAACTTAGTACTTGCTTATAACTAAATTAAAATTTCTATATTAAGAAACCTAACAGAAATACTAAGTGATCTATTTCCCACTAATTAAGGATCTAGCTAGGTGCGTGTATCATGATTGATGAGAAGGGCGGTGAAGCCTGGGTCGTCCAATAAGGCCTGTAACTTTTTTTTTACTTTTCTGTAGTATTTGGAATATTCCTTTAATTTTTCAGCTACTAGCATCACTTACTGCTGCAGTATCTTTGAAGCTGTCTATATATACTATGAACAAGTATATGCTTTGTATATCAGCAAGACACGCAAACAAGCTAATTGAGCCATACATACAGATAGTCAGATACAAACCAATTGCAGTAGTATATTCATCAATTCAATGGCTGAAGTTTATAACAACTTAAAGCTGGCTGCATCTTGCACTATCATTTTGGCATTTGTGTTTTCCTTTGGTTTCCAAACAGCAGTGGGAAGTAGAGCTTTAACCTACGCCCCCAATGAAAAGGGGTCTGCAGCATCACCGGCTGTGCCGCTTGGAGATGATTCCACATGGACTACCCTCGGCCATAGTCCGGGCATAGGGCACAATACCCCACCCCGGGCTTCGCGCGCTTTTGACACATTTTCACACGTGGATGATTTCAGACCGACTGACCCCGGTCACAGTCCCGGCATCGGTCACTCAACCCCACCCCCTGCTTCGCTCGATCTTGCCACGTTTTCACATGTGGATGATTTCAGACCGACTGACCCCGGTCACAGTCCTGGCGCCGGTCACTCAACCCCACCCCGTGCTTCGCGCGCTTTTGCCACATTTTCACATGTGGATGATTTCCGACCAACTGACCCCGGTCACAGTCCCGGGGCCGGTCACACAATCCCACCTCAGTCCCAGCATCATGGTTCGCGTCCGACTAGGCCGGGCCGGTCACAGTCACCGCGGTGGTCAATGAAGACCGCTGCTGCCCCAGGTCAAAGTCCCGACGTTGCTCACTGATCGAAAATTTTCTCTAGCATATCTATCATGCGCGCTCCTTATCGAAAATGATGCAGATTATCATTAATAGCCGTTCGTCAACCAATACGTACCCCATATACACATCGATATACAGTCTAGCATATTTATTAAATACTCCATAAATAAACTATTATGAAGTCGGATTGGTTGAATTAAATACGTACGTAGTACTCCACATATAATAATGATAATATAATAGTATATGAAGTCCCAACTCTCATCCCCGGTTAGGTTTCAATTGATTTGTCTTGACGCAAGCTATGTCTTGCGCATGTAACATTCATCTTGCGATCTCACTTTATTTAAGCTTCAATTAATGATATGTCATGTTTTATGTTTCTATTGTATAGAATATATATGTATGATGATGATGATATTATCATAATAAACATAATAATAATAATCATAATAATAACAATAATAATAACAATAATAATAGTAGTAATTAATAATAATACTAAGAAGGAAGCTTTGCTATTTTAGAACAATTTGGTGACCATGTTTTTTGAAATATCAACATTATAGATCATCTTATACACTAAACATGTTACTTTTGATTTCACACGCTTAATTGTATCATAATTAAAATAAGTAAGTTTGTGTTACTTTTCTCGCTAAATCAACTGAAGTTACTGTAGAAGGTCATTTTAGCTATATTTTGTATAAATTTTTCTTTATTTTATTAAAAAAAATATAATTTAAATATAAATTTTTTCACATCTCAAAAAAATCAGGCAATTCAGCCATAAAAAATAGGTTTTATCAGTCGATTCAGTCCTATTTGTTGGTAAAACAATTGGTATAAAAACACATACCTATTGTTTTATTTTGGCAATAGTCCTATTTTGGCAAAATTAATGATCTTATATGTTCATTTAATAATAGAAATCATATACGCTATACACAGTATTAGTATATAATATATAATAATATAAAGGTAAATTCTACGGTATTCATAGGTATGATACCCCATTTTTTAATTGGGTACCGTTGTTCTTAGCTAATATAAATTAAGAATGCACCGCATTAATGTAATATCATCCTTAATTTGACAACCCATCGTAAAAATTCCTTCAATATCCAATATTCATGTCCAACAAAGTAAAACATGACAATAAACACTTGTAAATTGTAATGGAAGTATTAGCCTTCATCTTCAACGATATTTCAACTACTACCATACTTGAAGTATATCTTGTGTTAAACACCTCCATCTTAGACTGTTAACACACGGGGTTCCATCCTAAAAGGTCAACCTGATAGGAGGAGTAGCCCAAAGACTTATATAGTGTTTAATTGTTTTATAGCTTTCCGGTGTGGGACAAATGCTTCAACACGCCCCCTCAGCCCGAATCGGTCTGGACAATATCGGGATGTATAATCGGGCCAAACAAACCCTTAACAAGCTACCCTCAGCACCACGCTTGCCGAGCGTGCACCGACAGTCCTAGTTTGAGGCTCATTTCTCCTATTTTCTATAAATAAGGCCTCCATACTCCTATTTTGGGGTGACAGAATTTAGAGAGAGGCCTAAGGACGAGTTTCTACGTTGTTTTCCGCTATTTTGTTCAAGACCCTAGGATTATTTGTAAGTTCCATCTTTTTAATTAATGACAATCATTTCTATTCATCCCAATTCTTTTGGTTTATCAATTATGAGTTGTGAGTAGTTTAATTAGGGATTTGAGATTGATGAAGGGGTTATTCATGATGTATGACTAGTTTCTTTAAGGTTTCAATTGCATGAATGTCGTTTAATTTGTGTTTGAATAATTTAATTGATATCACTTGTAACATAGAACAGCCGCTAGAATTACAATTGCTTGTAGAATAAATTAAGAGAGATCTAGTTTATTCTAAGACACCTTCACACTTAATCGCTCGCTAAGAGATTAGTAGCGATTAAGGGGCCGTAAGCTCACTCGTCTTGGCAATAATTTAGGATCCTGTCGCATGAGAGATCAGCCTGTTCCCTAAATTATTGTACTCTACGCCGCGAGAGCGGTAAGAACTTAGTAATGATTAGCTAGGCTCAATTAAATTAATTTCATGTAATTATTAAGCCTAATGTGTCTGAAATCTAGTTACCCCGGAATCAATCCCTATTCCCTTTGTCATTAATTAGAGAGAAACCAAGCTTTTTATTCGTTTAATCACATTTTAATTGTCAAACCATTCAAATCTCGCACAATTGCATTTTATTTTATTTTCTTTTTAATCGCTGAATTTAGTTAATTCTTATTTCCCTTTTGTCCGTCCCTGTGGAGACGATACTCGTCCTTCACCACTATATTACTACATTTTTAAGTGCGAGAAAACTCACATAAGTTTTTGGTGCCGTTGCTGGGGACAGTGTCGGTTTTAAGGGTTAATTAATTCCAGCGACTTGTTTTAGCTTTTCTGTAGGATTTTTTGTGCCAACCTTTCAGGGTAATTTTTAAAGAGACGTGAGATGAACTCATTCAACTCAATTCGTGGAGGAACACCATTCCCTCAAACCTCCACGGAATATTCACCATATACGCCCTATCCTCCTTACATTCCCCATCAGTATTACCCTCCTCATCAGTATTACTCTCCAACACAACAAAATTTTCAGCCGTCTTATTCATACCCTCCAACCATGCAACCCTTTCTGCCTAAGAATTTCATTTGTTGCTTTTGTGGAGGATGTCACCATATAACTTTTTGCCCCGTTAAACCTCCTAATGACCATCCTTACTGGGCAACTGCATACCCCACATCTTCATCCCCACAATTTAGGAACACAAATGTTTCAACCACTCATACATCTCCGCCAAGTACTAAGCCACATAATCAACTTAAGGAGACATTTTCAAAGAAGTTGTCTGGCTTGGAAGAGACACTCATGCAGTTCACAGACCAAATGCGGAATCTAATCAACGTGGTGGGGCAGCCGGCAGAAGCTCAACCTGAGGAGACCAAGAGGGATGATCATGGGATTGAGTCAGACTGCGATTGCGGGAATATGATGAATGATACACTTATAGATGTTTTTGAAGTCCCACCTCTGTTTGAACCTCAACAAAAAGAGAGTAGTCGCGAGTCTGTGTACCAAGAATCCATGCAATGCATGCAAATATTTCAAACAGTACAATCTGAAAGTGATGAAGACATGGATCACCATGATTTTCATAAAGAAACTCTCTAGCCGTTTGATTTACCATTAGTCTCAACATCTGATCAGGGTATGAAGCAGACCAGTCATGACGAGCACTTTGTCGTGGTGTGCACTCAAAATAAATATCAATACAACACTTATACGTAATATTAGCGTAGTAAGGTTCGTATCCACAGGGAAAGGAATACTTCTCTTTTTAATTAAATAGTAACAAAGGGGTTTTTAGATGTGTTTGACTTTAATTAATTAAATACGAAGATGAACGACTTATATGAGTTTAAATAATAGAGATGAGGACTTGGTTTTGCTTTTATCCACTTAATGAAATGTTCGTCGATCCCGGTTATATCTTTAACTATTTCCTCTCGAATACTCAATCGAGGAGTATATCCAATTCATCGAGGGTAGTTATTAATAACGAGACGCGTTCATTTATAAAACTTACTACCGAGTCAATATAGAACACGCGCCGTATATTAACCCGATAGTAGCAATAAACTTAAGATGAAAACGATTGAGATTGATAACCTTAACACAAGCGGTTTATTGGTTTAATCAATATAATTAATTCCCCTTAGATTATTAACCATGAGACACATGCATTAATAATCCAAGTTTACTACCATGAAACGACCGAACGACTAACAAGCGTATTCGTCGATCGATTCTAGTATTAATTAATATATGAAACAAAACTAGTTGATCCTTTAAGTAATGCTCAAAATATTAATATGATATATGAATAGGAATTAATTAATATTCAAGGAAGAATATTAAAGAAGATAAATCCTACTATAACTAATGTCAAGATGTTAACTAATTGTCATCTTAGCAACACTCCCCAACATTAATATAGAGGAAGAAAATAAATACTACTATAACTAATGTCGAGATGTTAACTAATTGTCATCTTAGCAACACTCCCCAACATTAATATAGAGATAGTATTAAGGGAAAAATTAATATTCAAGGAAGAAGATTAAAGAAAATAACTCACAACTTACAATTCATTAAGCTTCAAAGTAGCAAAACCAAGATATGGAAGTTTAGCTCCTCATTTGGAGACTAAACATGCTATAAAAATATAAAAGAAATACTATTCTAAACTGAACTTAAGAGTATGGAAGAAGGGATGAAAAATAGCGAAGGAAAAGTGTGCTATTTATAGGTGTTTTTCAACACCTTTGGCCGGGTACCCGACCGGGTAGAGTATCCACCCGACCGGGTCCGGTCAACATCAAATATTTTCCATGTTCTGGTGTTCTTCAGCATGTCTGGATGTCCTCGGTCAAGTCTCACCCGACCGGGTGAGGTATAGGGCCCGACCGGGCCAAGCAGTTTCCTTCCTGGAGATTGCGTATGTTAACTCAAACCCGACCGGGTGAAGGTTTCTACCCGGCCGGGTATATATTCTTGGGCAGCATTCTCCTTGTTTTTCTTCCTTTTCTTTGCCAACTACTCTATCAATACTTCCTAACTTACAAATAAAAGCTAAAAACACTTACAAATAAAAGTAAACAAATGTTTACAACTACATACAAATGGTAAACAATCCACACAAAACAAATATAAAAACAAACATTTATGCACTACTAACTAGTGCATATCAAGTCATGACATTGATGAAGCCATTGGAGTAGGTTTGAGTATTGAAGATGAGTTGGTAGAAGATAATCATGAGCTCCAAGAGTGTGGTAGTGTGGTAGATGATGTCCATATTGAAGAAGTCCCAGTGTCCCACTCCACATGTAAGTTTACCCCTCTTGGGATGCCTTCATGGAGAGTGATACTAAGTCAAGAATATGTGCTCCGAATTTTCACGGTACATTTGAGAGAGGCAAGAAAGTGTTTGTATGCACTTTGAACTGGATGATGTGAGGGTCATTCTACCCTTGTTTGCTGATGATGTTCATGAAGACCATGTGATTACTGCGTGGGTTCAAGAGTTTAAGAATTTGCGTTACCTAATGGCATTTGTTGAGGAAAAGCTGGATACGTTGATGATTAGAGCCCCACTACAGTCTTTGCAGTTTGAGAGCCTATGAGGTATTGTCAGACACACGACGTTTAAAATAGCGCTTCTTGGGAGGCAACCCAAGCTTATTTCTGCACTTTTTGTTTTTGGTTGTTTGATTTCAGAACCCCCCCCCCCCCCCCCCCCCCCCCCGAAAATCTCAAAAAAAATGGGG